AAATTAAATAGAAAACAAAACATAAAACCGACGTACACATCAAAAAACAGAATTGCACTTGGATGCTTAGAGCTAATAAAATCGGTAACTAGAATCGTTAATTAACCACTTACAGCTGAAACCGGTAGCGAACCACAACAGATTAATAGGGACATACTGAACATTTTCTAACGACACCGTCTGGTGAGTGAAGGTTCCTCCAAAGTTATACACAAAATGAAGAACTGCAACCCCTGGTCGCAAGTGACTACATATGTATGCTAGGTAAGGTCAGCTGATAAAACGACGTCGAATTATTTAACAGTTTGGCATAATGTGACGAGAGATACAGAAACGTTGAATTCTTCGTATCTCAAATCATGTCGATCATTCTGTAGTAGTTTTAGAACCAATCAAAAGAAGACCATGAGCTCCGACGCCATTCGTTTGTTTCACGTAGTCAGTCCTCCGGCGATTTCGCTGATCCTCTTATAACAGTGTCTTCTGCGCATATGAAGCATTTAAGAGGGGACTAACGACACGGACATGCATGAAGATGTTGAAAGAGGAATGTGAGTATCTATCAGGGGAATGTCACGCGAATCTAAATGTAGGCCAGTAGAAATCGGATTAATGTATCGCTGGGCTGATTAAAGCATCGAGAAGAATGTCGGGTTAACATTTTCACATTTTGCTCTGACCAGTACTTTGTGAACACTTTTGCAGGTAGTGACCAAAGCTCAACATAAGTCATACATTTTACCCTTGACTTTGCCTTATAGGATGTCGCAAATGGATGCGAAATCCAGCCACTTCTGAATGTCACCACTTACCATTCATTCCAACCCTGTATAATGCCTGATATGATTGCAAGCCAACCCTTGTACATTTTGCCCTGATTTCATAAAAATTTCACTTGAATTGATTAGACATAAGAAATGAGCAGATGGTAAAGTCTTTATTATAACTGTCGGCGTTTCAGCCTAAATAAATGGATTTAGTAGTCTGTATTTCGCACAGAGCACCTTCTATCTCTTCCAGGAAGAACTCATATTCTCCCTCCGAATTGGGTGCATAGGCCTGTAACAAGGTTAAAACTGTAGTATGTTGTAACTTTAGCCGATTCACGGCCATTCTTCCGCTGACAAGCTTTCATTAAGCAAGTGTCAGCCAGGTTGTGTTCTACCAGAAAACCAACACCGGTCTGAGAGCGGGTCATGAAGTCGACACCTGAACAGAATAGCTTCCAACCACAGAGGTTCAGAATTCCAGAGCCATGACACTTCATTGGCGGGAGTTCAACTACATCCATTCTGTACTTTGCGGCCTCATCAACTAGCTCTTGCTCTTCCGTCTGTCTGAGTGAAGCGATGTTCCAATTTATGACTTTGAGCTCCTTCTGTCGGTACTGTTCCCAT